TGTGTGTGTGTGTGTGTGTGTGTGAGAGAGAGAGAGAGAGAGAGAGAGAGAGAGAGAGAGAGAGAGAGAGAGAGAGAGAGAGAGAGAGAAAGAGATTGACTTTCGTAGCTGCTCTTCTTTATGTGTGCCCTCGGTATCTCACCTATGCTTGTCCTTCCTAGCATCCTCTTTTTGTTGTTCTTACTGGTGCTATCGCCCGTCCAGTTAGGTTGAAGTCTCGATATTGTTATTGAAATTGGGTCAGGGTCTTCGTCAGGATCCTGGTCTGAGCTAGGCTCTTGGTCAGGGTGAGGGTCTTGGTGTGGATCAGGATCCTGGTTGGGGTCAGGGTCTTGTTCTGGTCATGGGTCTTGGTCTTGGTCAAGATCGTAGCATAGGTGAGGGTCTTGGTCTAGGTCAAGGTCTTGGTCTGGTTGAAGGTCTTACTCTTGGTCAGGGTGCTGCTCTTCCTCAAGGTGTAGGTCTAGGCCAGGATCAGGGTTTGGGTGTTGGTGTGGATCCGGGTCTAGGTCTTGATTTGGGTGAAGGTCTTTGTCTTGCTCTAGGTCAAGGTCTTGGTCATGGTCTTGCTTTCAGTCTAGGCGAGGGTCTAGGTCAGGGTCATGGTGTGGGTCTTAGTAAAGGTCGGGGTCTTGGTTAAAGTCAAGGTCTTGGTCTGGGTCAGGGTATTTATATGGATCATGGGGCAGGTCAGGTTTGGTTCTTGGCCGGGGTCAATGTCTTTGTCCCGGTTAAGGTCTTGTCGGGCTTAGGGACAAGTTCCGGGTGGATGATCTCAATTTGGGTCGGCTTGAAGGTCGTGGTCTTACACAGTGTCTGGGTCCACGTGGGGGTTAATGTCTCGGTTTCTATCCGGGTCAGGGTTTGGGTCTGATTTAGGGTCAGGGTCCGGGTCCAAGTCTGGGTCAGGGTCCGATTCCGGGTCAGGGTTTGGGTCTAGGTCTGAGTCGGGGTCAAGGTCACGGTAAGGGTGAGGGTCAGGGTCAGGGTCTTCTTCCGGGTCTGCGTTCATGGGACCTTCTTCTGGGACTTCGGACTGCGGTTCTGGACGAGGACTTTAGATTCGGACTAGGAGATATAAGGTGAACGAGGACTCCTGACTGATAATCTCGCCTCAGACCCTGCACTAGGACTCTTGATTGGGCTCTGACTGGGACTCTGAACTACGACTCCAGACTGTAACTCTTGATCAGGGACTCCACACTAGGTTTCTGAATTGGGACTTTGGATTGGTTTTCTGGAATGGTACTTTGCACTGGGACTATGGATTGGGATTTTGCTTTGGTTTTCTGAAGTGGGACTTAGGATTGGGACTGTGGATCGAAACTTTTTCAAAAACCTGTATAACGGCACTACCCCCCCCTACCCCCCCCCGGTTACCCCCTACATGCTAATCAATCTGAGCTCATTGTGGGGGTGTTTAGAACTACTAACGAAACACGGAAGAGGAAGCAGGATCTGCATTGGGACTTGGGTTTCAGACTTTTGTGCGAGTGTGTTTGTGTGTGTGTGTGTGTGTGTGTGTGTGTGGTTGTGTGTGTGTGTGTGTGTGTTTGTGTGTGTGTGTGTGTGTGTGTGTGTGTGTATGTGTGTGCGCGCGCGCGAGAGAGAGAGACAGAGAGACAGAGAGAGAGAGAGACATTGACTTTCATAGCTGCTCTTCTTTATGTGTGCCCTCGGTATCTCACGTATGCTTGTCCTTCCTAGCATTCTCTTTTTGTTGTTTTTTACGGTGCTATTGTCCGTCCAGTTAGGTAGAAGTTTCGATATCGTTAAGCTTGTTTACTGCAAGAAGGTGACTGGACTTCCGTAGTTCGGGTATGCAGCTTGTCCTTGTTTCGGCTGAGGGAAAAAAAAAAAAAAATGATTGTATGGTCCCTGACCATTTGCGAATTCGTTATAATTATGATGTTCTTGGGGGACATTTGCAATTCGTGTTGCGTAGAGACTAAGTACTGCCATTGCTATCTACCACTCACGTGATCCGGTTCTTTGGTGTTCAATCCGTGCTTCGCTTCGCATGATACATTTGTAGTTCAGTTGTTTGTGTCTTCAATGTCACACGTGCACGGCCGCTAAGAAGATAAGGAGGAGGTAGAAGAGGAGGAAGAGGAAGAGGAAGAGGAGGAAGAGGAAGACGAAGAGGAGGAAGAGGAAGAGGAGGAGGGGGGGGAGGGGGAGGGAGTGAAGGACAAGGACGACGAAGAGGAGCAGGCAATGGAGGGAGAAGCGGAGCACAATCAGGAGGAAGAAGAGGAGGAGGAGGAGAAACAGTCGATCGTCGGGGAGGAAGAGGAGGAGGAGGAGGAGGAGGAGAAAGAGGTGATGGAAGAGGAGGAAGAGGAGGAGGAGGAGAACAAGAGGAGCGCAAAAGAATGACTACGCCGGGTAGCGGCTGCTTCCCCTAACCTATGCCTTTTCTTTTTTGTTTTTTTTCAATCAATCAATTAGTCAATCAATCAATCAATCACTCAATCAATCACTCAAAAAAATTATCAATCGATCAATCAATCAATGAATCAATCAATCAATCAATCAACCATCTATTCATTCATTCGAGATCCATAGATTTCAACGGAAAGTTCCGTCCAAATCGAGGGATCTTGATTCATTCATAGTTACTCCCACCATTTACCCCTAGAAGATGAGGTGCGGTGTTTCAATCCTTGGTATAGAGATGACGAGAACAAGGCTGAGGTGGAGGAGGAGAACAAAGGAACAGGTGATGGAGGAGGACGAAGAAAAGGAGGCGGCGGCGATGGAGGAGGAAGAAGAAGAGGAGGCGTGGGAAGCTAAGGACAAGGATGAGGAAGAGGAGCAGACGATAGAGGGAGAAAAGGAGCACGAGGAGGAAGAGGAGGAGGAGGAGGAGAAAGAGGTGATGAAGGAGGAGGAAGAGAAGGAGAGTAGGAGGAGGAGGAGGAGGGAAGGAGGAAGAGTAGGAAGAGGAGACTCACCTTAGCGATAGGTAGAGGAGCAGCTCCTGGCGATGGCTCCAGCACTGGCAGAACAGCGGGGCAGCGGGGTAGCAGGGCAGCGAGGCAGCGAGCAACGGGGCAGCTAGCATGGGCCCAGTGAGGAGGAACATGAGGGTTATCTGTCTATGTCCTGCCAGAGCACTTGTGTTTGTTTTCAATACCCATATTTCGGTTTGCTGTTACATTCTRCATGTTCAGAACTATGTTGATGTTATATTGCATTTTGGATATGAGACATTTGTTGTCACAGCACACAAGCGCATGCAAGTGCGGGACATATCTTGTTCGGGGCATTTGTTTKTGCATCCACGAACTCATCMYTGCATTYTGTTGGTGGTAAAACWCAGTTACAAAARAAATGGAGACGGACACTGCAAGGTCTTTTCGTCAACGCAGACCTCCGCTGGTTCGTGGAGATAACCAGGGTTCGGTGGTCAGGCCTGAACGRCAAGGAGAGAAACTAAAAAAAYGACGCCATAGCCGGAGTGGACTCTYGAAAGTGTCTGRCAACAACARTACAKGAGGTGGAAYGAAAAGCAACCTACAACAACCAAAGGAGCATGGGACTTTGGAAGGAGRGGGGGGGGRAGTTGTGCATGATGATTGCGAGGGTGGTGAGGTGRAGGGAGTACAAGCGTGTAATGAGGAAAAAATGACCACGGCAGAGWYAWCAAGATTCGAGGAGGAAGAAGACGGAACRGATATRAGAAAGGACAAAGAAACAAAGAAAATCCAGAAGAAAAATTYGTCTGACGGGGATAAAATATATCATATTATCTCTTCGTCGGAAGGAGAGGCCACRGAGAAARAAAAAATGGGAACAGAGAGGACAAATGTACCAMAACGAGTGGGGAGCARCAGTGGTAGAAGAGGGAGGAAGGCAATTGCATTTYGGGAGCATASAACGGTTGATGAAAAGAAAAAAAAGACGGATGGACTAAGGAGGAGGAGGATGKTGGAAACAATTCTGCAGAGAARGGATGGTTGTGAGGAGGAKGTAAGAAGGAAAATCATAGTAGATGAGCATGAGGGYGCAGCACGAGGGGATGATAWTGATTGTGTGGGTGCAGACAACGAGGTGGATAAGGTGTCCACACCATTGCCATGTGCTTCCAAMRTAGAGGCAGAGTATCCTGGACGATTCACTGACGTACACTATCCAGGGGTTACTCTCACGACAGCAGATGRCACCCACTACACTGGAYATTGTGTTGTTTGCAGATCACTCACAAAAAGRAAATACCCAGGGTGGAAAAATTGYCGCCAGAAGTATWCTTGTRCAAATTGTGCAGTTTCTCTTTGTCCATCTCCATGCTTCAGATTGTTCCACGAGTACTTAATAGAYGGGTTTGATTACAATTATCGGATATCGGGGAAGRGAAAGAAGGGAAGGTCAAGAAACATAGTATTTCGAAAGTSAACGCCTAMGYGGYCTYATCGTARGGGCGAGAAAATYCCTCGTAACTTTGCTTATAATGTAGAAAATGGTAGTTAAGAATYAGAGACGGAGATTGGCAAGAAARAGGYTTCATTTGGCGGAGCGTCTTTAAGGGAGACTTAAAGAAACATTTTAYTGTCTGAGTTTCAAGGACCGTCAAGAAGTCGTTSGCATCTTTTCCTCTCTCCATTTTGAGGTCCTAATACGGGTATTGGCATAAGGTTGAACTGACGTTGTTGCCAGGTTGTGGGATGCAGTGATGTGTTGGMTGAGCRTGTTGAGGGTTGGTGTTATGAGTCGGGTCTGTAAGCTCATGTCATTTCGTGCTTCGAGGTTTGGTGTACGGTGAAATTCYTATTCCCTCACCKCASTCTTCGAGGTTCGGGTACAGSTGCATTCGCTCATACTTGAACTTGCAACCTTAATTGTGCATCGAGGGTTTAGTTTAAGGCTATAGRCATTTGCAATACCCTTAATTGTGCATCGAGGGTTTAGTTCGAGGATTGRGACTTTGGACTGGTTTTYTAGAGTGGGACTTTGCACTAGGACTGTGGATCAGCCCACGTCAAGGTCTGGTTTTTGGGAGTGGGACTTTGGACTGGGAGTGAGGACTAGGATTTTGTCAATACCCTGTATAACGGCGCCATCCGCCTCCCCGTCCCCCCCCCCTTCCTGCTAATGAATCTGAGCTCATTGTGAGGGTGTGTAGAACTATTAATGGAACACGGAAGAGTAGTCGGGATCTGCACTGAGACTTGGGTTTCAAACTTTTCGCTTAAGACTGAGACCTGAGACGTGGGACTGTGGAGTGGGACTCGAGACTCGGACGTACTACTTCGGATTGGAACTTCAATCGGGGACTTGAGACAGAAACTCATGAATGGGTTAAGGGCTCGTGACCTGGACCAATGACAGGGAAACTAATGACAGGGAACCATCAATCCTTTCATGCAAGTTAATTTTGATAAAATTGAGAACTTAAAAATTGCATGAAATTTCATAATTTTTTATCTTTATCCTATCCTTTGCACCTGCAGAAAAGAGTGCTGGTGTGAGAGCGCTCACGAGAGAGAGAGAGAGAGAGAGAGAGAGAGAGAGAGAGAGAGAGAGAGAGAGAGAGAGAGAGAGAATAAGACGTACAGACAAACAGAGAGAGAGAGAGAAAGAGAGAGAGAGAGAGAGAGAGAGAGAGAGAGAGAGAGAGAGAGAGAGAGAGAGAGAGAGAGAGAGAGAGAGAGAG